CCCCCCCCTCCCTAAAAAGAAAAGCATGTTGTGAGAACTTCCTCCATTTGGCCTGTCTCTCTGTGACAGGTGCTCGGTAAGTACTGCGAGAAGCTGGACCCGTCCATGGCCTTCCTTGCCTACAAGAAGGCGGGCGGCGCCTGCGACGATGACCTCCTTCGGGTGACGAGCGAGAACGGCCTCTTCAAGAACCAGGCGCGGTATCTCGTGGAGAAGCAGGACATGGAGCTTTGGGCCAAGGTGCGTGTGTGTGTGTATTTATTGTTTGCATCAACCGCGCTAACCAGTTGACCAATGAAAAGACGTCAGTCTTCGTCCGGTTGAAAATACAAACACTTGTAGGTGCCATGAACGTTTGTGTGAGTGTATTTTTTCTTGTGGTGTTGGGTGTGTTTGAATTAGCATCGACCGTGGTAGCCGGCGTTCCCTTGAAAATACGCCGGTCTTTTGGATGTGTGTTCCGTGTCTCTTGTGTCGGGATTGTTGTGAGCATCGACCGCACTAGCCGGCTTGCACACCAATGGAAAGACGCCAATGTGTGACGCATGGCGCACCCTCGTGGCATTTTTGGGGCCGCGAATACTCGAAACGATTTCCGTTTTTTTATGTGGGCCATCTGCATGTGTGTTTTTTTTTCGCGGTCGCTTAATACGTAGGGTACGGACGATGCGTACAAAACCACGAACGTCATGCGCTGATCCGTTGCGGTTACGATACCCACATGTACAGCTTGGTACGACACGCGCTGATCCTCGTTGTACGTGCGTTGCGCGTGCTTGTATCCGCGACACGACTGCCCGGGGTTGGTTTCACAGGTGCTGACGAAGGCGGAGGGAGAGACGCAGGAGCCCGCCTCCCGGCGCGCCCTGATCGAGCAGGTGGTGCAGACGGCGCTTCCCGAGACAAAAAATGCCGACGAAGTTTCCACCACCGTGAAGGCGTTCATGAACGCCGACTTGCCGTCGGAGCTGATCGAGCTGCTCGAACGCATCGTGCTCCAGGTGTGTGTGTGTGTGTGTGTGTGTATGTTGTTATTGTTGGCATCGACCGCGCTAACCGACTGACCAATGAAAATATTGCGGTTGAAAATACAAAACTGTGTGTGTGTGTGTGTGTGCGTGCTTTTATTATTAGCATCGACCGCGCTAACCGGCTGACCGATGAAAAGACGTCAGTCTCAGTGCGGCGGGAAACACAAAATGTGTGTGTGTGTGTGTGTGCGTGCTTTTATTATTAGCATCGACCGCGCTAACCGGCTGACCGATGAAAAGACGTCAGTCTCAGTGCGGCGGGAAACACAAAATGTGTGTGTGTGTGTGTGTGCGTGTGTGTGTGTTTTGAGTTTGCATCGACCTCGCTAACCCGATGACTAAGTAAGAATACTTGAGTCGGTGTGCGCGCGTTTTGCGTGTGTTGCTTCTGTTTTTTCGTTTCTGGGAACACCCCGCGATTGGAGTCGAAGCCAGGTGTTGGAAGTCTTGGGCACTGAGTGGAGTAGAAAACCTAGGGGGTGCTGCGGTGCTGCGCTTATAATTGAGAGTGTTTGATTCAAGCCAATACCAGAATTGTCAGTGGTGCCAGCTGTGGTGCTAGTGGCGACCGACAACATCTGGATCGGTTTACGTCAAATAAGGGCATCCGTTTTCGGACACGATATAAGAAGGATTCCTCATTATACCCTTTGAATTGGACTTACCAACTCTTGTGGAAGATCACGCAATGCCACCGTTCGATTCCGTACTTAACAAAAACTGACAAAACTGTTTTTTTTTCTGTTGGGACAGGGTTCCGACTTCTCCGAGAACAAGAACCTTCAGAACCTTCTCATCCTGACGGCCATTAAGGCCGACCGCGAGCGCGTGATGGAGTACGTCAACCGCCTGGACAACTTCGACGGACCGGAGATCGCCAAGATCGCGGCTTCGGAACAGGTGAGGGGTCACACAGGGCTGGCTTCTCCTGCTCCCAGAAGTTGCGGTAAATTTGATAGCGGTTGGTTGTCGCTGCTGCTGCCGTTGTGATGGTGTAGGCTTGGCGATGTCGTCGTCCTTGTCATTGTCGTTGTCGTTGTCGTTGCTATGGTGGTTGCTGCTGTCGAAGTTGTGGTTTTGGTTCCCTAACATTTGTTTTCATTGTCGGGGTATTGTGCTTCCTGGTCTTGGAGGTGTGGTCTTGGTTTCCTCTTACTTTTTTTGTCATCGTCGGTATTGTTGTTGCTGCTGTTGCCGTGGTGGTTTTGACTTGACCTTGTCTTCGTTGTCATCGACGGTGTTGGTTGTTGGTGGTGGTTTTGCTTGACAATGCCGTTCTCCGCGCTCGACAATGCCGTTAAATCCTCGCTTGGCAGTGCCGTTCTCCTTGCCATCATCGTTCTGACTGTTGGTGGTTGATGTTGTGATCGTTGGATGGTTGTGGTCCCTGCTCCATTCTTCTGACGTCCGTACCGCAACGATCTGTCACCTTTTCGATCAACACCAGTACGAGCTCTTCGAGGAGGCGCTCCTGATCTACACCAAGTGCGGCAAGAAGAGCGAGGGCGAGGAGAAGACCGCCATGCACGTCAGCGCCGCCGAGGTACTGGTGGACAACCTGAAGGACCTCAACAGGGCCAAGGACTTCGCGGAGCGGGTCGCGGACAGCGCCGTTTGGAGCAAGGTGGGAGATGGTTCATTGATTGTGCCTCCCTTCGGAAGCCACACTAGCTGCACCGGTTACTCTACGAAGCCCTAAAACCCTTTTCATTGACTATGTCTGCCTTTGGAAGCCAAAGCAGAAGCTGCATGCTTTTGCAGCCACAGCTGTGCAGCTGCTGCAGCGACTGCCTTTACCCATCGAAGTGTTGATACATTCACGCTGTTCCTAAATGGATTGCAGTGAACAACAGAAAAATAGTAGGAGTTCAGCGAAAAGGCCCCGACTAGAAACAGATTCCAATGTATGTTGCTCGCTACGAATCGTTCGTCGTGTTGCTTGTTTGTCCGCACGCTATCGGTTTGTGGGTTTCTTTCGGGTGTGTTAACTCTCTCTTACTGTTGTTTCCTCGCTCGAATTTTCGATTCCGGCAGGTCGCCAAGGCTCAGCTGGACGAAGACATGTGCGTGGAGGCTATCGCGTCTTACATCAAGGCGGAGGACCCCAGCTACTATGCAGAGGTGAGAAAAAGGAAAAGCAGAACGGCAACCGTCCTGCCTGCGTGCAGGAGCAAACCCTTCTGAGTGCGGTAGCTGCTGTGCCGCTGCTGCTGTGGGTTTCCAATCTTTATTGGCTCTGTTGCCTTGTGGGGGGACATGGGTTTTTTTCCCTTGACTAACGCTGGCGCCTGCCGTTTCTTCGTCTTGCCGAAAACCCGCTCCAATAGTACAAGTTTCCATCCCATTGTCGTACGGTACCATTCTCCATCCCATTCTTTCTAGGGCTTTTTCGCGTTCAAGTGACACTCGCGCGCCTGTGATTCTCCACATGTTTTGAGAACACGAAATTCCATCACGTTAATACATACCATGGTAATTCCGTCCCATATATTTTTCCCAGGTGATCGAGGCCGCCGAGCGCGACGGTGCGTTCGAGCAGCTGGTGCTGTACCTGCGCATGGCCCGCAAGGAGGTGAAGGAGGCCATTATCGAGAACGAGCTCATCTACTCTCTCGCCAAGACCAATGCCCTGGGCGACCTCGAAGAGATCATCGCCGCTCCCAACGTGGCTAACATCGAGGTGAGATATGGCTACGCGGCCGCGGTGGCGGATTGTGGTTATTCTTGTCTTGATGTTAGAATCGTCCCGGTCTGTGCTCAGTACCTTCTGGTGTCCGTGCTGGTCCAACCGACGCGTACGTCTTCCGGAAAGGGAAGGATTGTTGGGGTCGGACGGTGTTTCATGTGTGTTGGTTGTGATGGGTATTGCTTGGATTGGGGTCGGGAAGGAGAGGAGATAGTTCGTTGCTGGCATGAGGCGGCGCGTCGGTAATGTTTGTGGTACATGTTGGTTATTGTTGTTGCTACTGCTGCTCACTTAGATGCCATCGATGCGCATGTTGGTCGCGTCCGGCTTCTTCCATCCCCTGCATTTTGTGGGAGTACCGTTATGCTCGTGACCCACTGTGAGGGTAGCGAGCAGCACATGTCGTTCCCCCCATGAGGATATCCAAGCGCCGTGTCCAAACAATTTTTTTCTCTTTTTCGTCATCGCCTCAGGGCATCGGAGAGCGCTGCTTCGACGAAGGCATGTACGAGGCGGCCCGCCTGCTCTTCAAGAACATCCACAACAACGCCAAGCTCGCCCTGTGCCTCGTGCACCTCGGCCAGTACCGAGAGGCTGTCGAGGCGGCTACGAAGGCCAACGCTGTCAACACCTGGAAGCAGGTAAGGGGAGCAGGCTCCTCTTCGTGCGCTTGAGCGTGTGGATTGTGGTCGTGGTTATATCTACTTGTACTGATGGCGGTTGTTAGGTCCGGTCGACCGCGAATGGCCGATGTTGTCAACACCTCTAAGCAGGTGAAGAGGCAGGCTCCAAGGCGCTTCACCGTGTGGTGTTTGGTATGTAATGTTTTTAGTTGCAGTCGCTCCCCCCCCCCCCCCCCCCCCCCCCCCCCCCCCCCCCCCCCCCCCCCCCCCCCCCCCCCCCCCCCCCCCCCCC